TTCATTCTTCTCCTTCAGGCAACTACTTCCTAGCAATATTATAAGGAAAGCCAGGGTAGTTCTGGACTCATTCCTGTGTCGCTTTTGTCCCTATATCCTCTCTCTGAATTACCTTATTACAACACAAAGTGAAATAAATCTCATCTGTGTCAGGAATTCATAGAGCATCTAGGTGTTTTGCCAGACTTCCATGTCCATAACAGTCATTTTATCATGGACCTTTTGCCTTGTAAGGTCTGATCCATGTGATGTGGTCTACAGTTACTCAGTAGAATTAAAATAGAGAACTTTAGTTCATGCAGTTTAAGTATATGTAATTATAGCACAAATACTAGTTTACTGTCACTCCCTTTCTACACCTCATGCTGATGTTTCCATAAAAGCATTGCAGATTTGTTAAACAAATACTGAATCTGGTCTTAAATCCATGGTCCTGTTAGTGCTTTCATTTAAATAAACTCACAAAAAGACATTGTCAATACTATAATATTTGTCAGACACACACACACAAAAAAAAATCAACCATTCAGAAATGTAGTTTTCTTCCCTTTTTAGTTCCTTATTTTTAGAGATGATAAAATATTATATCTCAAAGAAAACTGATCACTTGGGTAAGCTAGAAATTCTCTCATAAAAGCACTGCTGATACTTTTAGTAGAAATAATATATTTTCCTTCTTTTTATTTCAATGATTCTCATTCTTTCTTCCCCCTCAATTTTTTTCTTCAGAAAAGAACTTAGAGGAACACAGAATTCAGCAACAATTTCAGTACACATTAGTGCTTGAATACTGTCACTTCTATATAAAGCAAATATTAGCCTTTTAAAGGAGTCATATTTCAAGGATCAGGTGGGAAGCACAGAAGTGTTGGATGCACCTCACTGCACTGCTGTTCATCCTCAACACTTTGCACAATGTGAGAATGTTTAGTAATTCCAACCCAGCCTACAGATAAGAATCTCTGGTGTCACATCACAACCAACAGTGCTGGTGTAAGATTTGTAGTAAAACAATATTCCAGCTGTAGCTTTCATTTACAGAAATAAAACATCAGAATGGAAGGGAGGTGTGGGGGGGTCGAAGATAAACATTTTGGTCTTTTGGCACCATTTATAGAAATTACAGGGAACCCATAAAAAGTGAATATTGAAAAATAAGGAAAAAAAAAGAGCAATTAGACTGTAGACTGTTTTTAAAAATTATCCATTTAATATTTAACTTTTAAAGACATCCAATGCAAGCACATCACCAAATAACATCTTTCCTAAATAAAGTGTGCGACAACTGTGGGGCAGGCGGTCCTATTTTTCTCCCATTAATCATCAGAAACTTCATATGCAGGAAAAGTCTCAGGGGATATTTCTGGCTGGGAAAAAGATCCTCCCTCCTCAATTTTAATCAGCCCATCCCATCTGTAATGGGTTTAGAAATTGTTAATGACATAAAGTGACAGTCGAAGGGCTTTTTGTTCTGTCAGTATAGGGTTTCTTGTGAGCTCTCTAACAAACTACTACATATAGTTCTCAAAGCTTCTGGAAAATGATCTGGATTACAACGGAATAAATTTGATATGCTAGCAATCACAATCAGGAACTAAAAAGAAAGGCTTCCTTAATGCTCAACTATAATGGTAATAAGACAAATCTAGCTGTGATACAAACCATGTAAGAGGGTTAACTAACACTTAGAATGCAGGTCTGTACTATAGAATATGTAAAATATACAAGTATCTGAATAAGGTGCTAAGAATAGGAACTTAAACAAGCCTTTCATTAATTTTATTAGATTCTGAATGCAGCTATAATTATAAAACCTAGCACTTATGCATAACGACAAAGTGGAACAGTCTTCCATTAAATTTACAATATAGATTGGGAGTCTGTGTGAGTGTGTATCTACCTACTTAGAAAGTATTTACAATATTCGAAGATAAATGTTGATCTAGACTTCAAAGACTTTAATCAAAAGTTTGTTTGCTAGACAGCAACGCATAATTTGATCCTATTGTTATTCAAAACCATTTTTATTCCATTTCATTCTGAACATAGAAAATTAATCTCCCCAGATCTCACAAAATGTTGCATTGGATTCAATTATTTCATATGGCAGACTGAGAGTTTAGTTTAAACTAGCAAAAGTTTAAACCATTTCAATTTTAAACATAGTACAAAACTAAAACTCTACTAGAAGGCCATGATACTTAGGAGCACTTTTAGTGGTATATAAACCATGTAGATCAGGTTCTGGTATCTTCCAATAAAAAAAAAATTCCCTCTTCTTTAGATGGTTAGAAGTAATGAAATTTTTACATGAGGGAACTCACAATCTAGCCAGCTGTTCATGCCTTAATAATGAATGCATATTTGTGAATGTGAATCAAGTTGGAGTAGGTTAATAATGCATACAGAAATGGAAATTTGCCAGGGATTTTTTTAAGGCAAATTTTACTCTTCTACAGCTAAACATTCTCCCTCCTATTGTTTTTTCATTTTTTAGCAAATTCATGTCACCAGTGTGTCAGAGAAATTGACATTTTAAAGACTGATCTACATGTTAGGTTGCACTGAAGTGCATTTCTCTGGAGAAATGCTCCATCCTTCTCATCTGTTGATAGCCAACATTTTGTAAAAAAAATAGCTGTAAGTGATCTCTGAGAATCTATATACTTCTGTATTTGCTTCCCAATTTTCTCCTAATGGAAATATCCTGTCATATTGCAATGTAAAATAGGAAATGTTAAAATATTTATTCCTGAAAAATCGCATGCAACATGAGTGTGCCGCTGCATGAGCTGACAGAATGTACTGTTGCCACGTGGCCTTTGGCACTGTGATGCTGACATCTGAAATTCAAACAGGGAACTTTTTCCAGGCACAGCATACTCCTCACCTCGTAGTTAAACATCATCATCTTCAGGTAGTGATATCCCGATAATTTTTAATTGTGTCACATAGATGCTGTCTTCAGTAAAAATAGTGTTTTAAATACTCAGTAGATGCTAAACATCATAATTAATATCTTGGAAGATATCACTATATTGCTTTTAAACTGTATATTCAACTACGAAATATCAGCCTTATCTAGAGTGTTACAATAATAACCTATGAATGATAGGATTATCATCAAACTTTTCTGTCTGTTTACTCCACAAGCTTTTGCAACTTATGTCCAGGCTCAAGTTGTGATAAGTGTTCTGCAGCTACTCCTCAATATCCTGGGTTTGCATAAGTCCTTCAATTATCATTATAAATCAGCTAGAAAAGGTATTTTCTCAGCTGAAGTCAGAAGCCACCTCTCACTACAAAAGAATATGCATTAGTACTTTTGTTGGTGGTGGTGGTAAGGATTATGAGCAAATTTAGGATCAGTTGTTGTGTCAGCCTCCTCTTGCAAAGCCCAGTTTCTCTTTATTCTCCCTATTCTTTCTTATCTTCATGGCTTTGTCACTTGGGGTTGTTTAGTCTGGAAAAGAGAAGGCTCAGGGAGAACCTTACCAAGTGATCATCCCCCTGTACTTGGTACTGGTGAGGCCACACCTCAAACACCGTGTTCAGTTCTGGGCCCCTCACTACAAGAAAGACATTGAGGTGATGAAGCGGGTCCACGATAGAGCAACAAAGCTGGCGAAGGGTCTGGAGCACGAGTCTTATGAGGAGCAGCTGAGGGACATGCAGGGGTTTAGTCTGGAGAAGAGAAGGCTTGAGGGGGACCTTATCACTCTATAACTACCTGAAAGGAGGTTGCAGTGAGGTGGAGTTGGTCTCTTCTGCTAAGTAACAAGCAATAGGACAGGAGGTAATGGACTCAAGCTGTGCCAGGGGAGGTTTAGATTGGATATTAAGAAAAATTTCTTCACCGAGAGGTGGAAGATGCTTCCCAGGCAGTGGTGGAATCACCACCCCTGGAAATGTTCAAAAACCATGTAGATGAGGCCCTCAGTCATAGGGTTTAGTTGTAGTCTTGGCAGTCCTAGGGTAATGGTAGGGCTTGATAATCTTAAAGATGTTTTCCAGCCTAGTTGGTTCTATGATTCTATACAGTTCTTAAGTGTAACTGTGATTTCCACCAAATTCCTGAGACTCAAACTTTGGCTTCCACCCACAAGATTTCAGCTTTCTTACTGTGTACTAAACCGTTGGCACGTGTCTGAAACTCCTATAAATTATGTATACCTGAATAAATCATACTGCTTTTCTTCTCAGTGACATCTTTTATCTATTTTTTATCCCCCTCTATTATTAACATTTCTGCCAAGTAAATTCCTGTTGGAAGGTGAAAACATTACCACTGAATTTGCTCACCCAGGTGACCTTCCTGGCCAAACTCTCAAACCTTTACCTTCACTTTTAATTTCTTAGTATAACGGAAGTTGTGTGTTCTTTTCTCATTTCTGATCATTCCTTCAGAAACATTCTTTGATGCCTCCTCCCATTCCAGTCTCCCTCTTTCAATATATTTCTTCTACTACTCTGCTCTCAATCAGCAATTTTTCACGCTTTGCACCTCACTCCTTATGTCAGGATCTCACAGTCCTAGCTGTTGACTAAACACCTACCCACATACAGCATTGTGACCTACCTTTTTAATCTCTCATGAATGTGTAGCTGGCACTTTAAATTAGCGTGATCAAAACAGATATTTTGATTTTCACATTAAGCCTTCCTGCTTACTAAATTCTCTATCATAACCCAGACCATCCTTTAACTTGATGGTAAGCATCCTCAAGATTTGTACATGTCAACTTTATTCATAGGAAATCCTGTTAAAATTTAAAAAAGGTACTGACTCTTAAATCAGAAGTCTTCTGTGGTAGCCACAGAAATATTTCTGTTTCACAGTAGTTAAATATTGTGAGGTGAGACCTCATTTTTTTTTTAGTAAACTTTGTTCAGTTCGTTACTTTGCCCTCCCACCCTCCTCGTTGCTATCTGGCTTGCTTTCCAACCTACCATGTCCTTTTCAATATCTGTGCTTTAAACTCCTTAAGTCAGAGAATGTCTTACTATTTGATCACAGAATAGTTTACTACAATGGGAACATAATCTTTATATAAGATTCTGTTATACAACCGTACAAATTAAAAAAAATTGTGTCAACTAGATTCATTATCTAGAGTGCTAGCAATGTTTTTAAAATTAACTTGGGAACAATTTCAAAACTGGCTAATGTTAATGACAAAATGAAAGAGCTCTAAAGAGCAACTATTAGTGGACAGAAGAAACACAAATCCTACAGATTGTACTGATTTATGGTAAGCCCTATTTTGAAAATTTCAACAGTGCCTGTCGTACTGGCCCTCAGCAAAAGGCACTGTTTCATCCTCAGGGTTCTTGTGACATGCTTTGAGGTGACCTCCTACTCAGATCTGTGAAGGAAATGCAAAAGATGTTAATATTTTTTCTTCCTTTCTCTATGACAGTGACATTTTATGTTAATTTCATCTGCTCCTTGAGCTCTCAGAGCCAAAATATTCTGTGGGAGGCAGAATGATGTCATTTTAGTCATAGCATAATTTTTCAGCTTCTAGAACAAGACATATTGTGGCATATTCTTCAGTACTTCTTAAAAGTAGTGAAATATAAACTTAAGGTGATATATTTATGCATGAGGGGGTTACACTGCCTTTTTCAGCTCTTAGAGCTAAATAGCAGGTTTAAAGTGACATCATTCCTCCTCCACCAAATATTTTTGCTTTGAGGATTAAGGACACAAAATAACCTTGACCAAGAAATAAAATTTTCGATTATTGTAGAATCATAGAACCATAGAATAGTTAGGGTTGGAAAGGGCCTTAAGATCGTCTAGCTCCAACCCCTCTGCCATAGCCAGGGACAACTCCCACTAAAGCGTGTTACCCAAGGCTCTGTCCAACCTGCCCTTGAACACCACCAGGGATGGAGCATTCACAACTTCCCTGGGCCACCTATTGCAGTGCCTCATCACCTTAACAGCAAAGAACTTCTTCCTTATATCCAATCTAAACTTCCCCTGTTTAACCCATTATCTCTTGTACTATAACTACAGTCCCTAATGAAGAGTCCATCCCCAGCATTCCTATAGCCCCCCTTCAGATACTGGAAGGCTGCTATGAGGTCTCCACACAGCCTTCTCTTCTCCAGGCTGAACAGCAGCAACTTTCTCAGCCTGTCTTCATACGGGAGGTGCTCCAGTCCCCTGATCATCCTCGTGGCCCTTCTCTGGATTTGTTCCAACAGTTCCATGTCCTTTTTATGTTGAAGACACCAGAACTGCACACAATACTCCAGGTGAGGTCTCACGAGAGCAAAGTAGAGGGGCAGGATCACCTCCTTCGACCCGCTGGTCATGCTCCTTTTGATGCAGTCCAGGATATGGTTGGCTTTCTCAGCTGTGAGCACACACTGAAGCTGGCTCATGTTCATATTCTCATCTACAAACACCCCCAAGTCCTTCTCTGCAGGGGTGCTCTGAATCTCTTCTCCACCCAACCTGTAGCTGTGCCTGGGGTTGCCCAGACCCAGGTGTAGGACCTTGCACTTGTCATGGTTAAACTTCATGAGGTTGGCATCAGCCCACATCACAAGTGTGTCAAGGTCCCTCTGGATGACATTCCTTCCCTTCAGGGTATCAATCGAACCACACAGCTTGGTGTCATCGGCAAACTTGCTGAGGGCGCACTCAATCCCACTGTCCATGTCACTGGCAGATGTTAAACAAGACCGGTCCCAACACCGATCCCTGAGGGACACCACTCGTTACTGGTCTCCAGCTGGACATTGAGCCATTGACCACAACTCTTTGTGTGCGGCCATCCAGCCAGTTCTTTATCCACTGAGTGGTCCATCCATCAAATTGATGTCTCTCCAATTTAGAGACAAGGATGTTGTGTGGGACAGTGTCGAATGCTTTACACAAATCCAGGTAGATGACATCAACTGCTCTACCCCTGTCCATCAGTTCCGTAGCCCCATCATAGAAGGCCACCAAATTGGTCAGGCAGGATTTCCCCTTAGTGAAGCCATGCTGGCTGTCACCAAGCACCTTGTTGTTTTTCAGGTGCCTTAACATGCCTTCCAGGAGAATGTGCTTCAAGATTTTGCCAGGCACAGAGGTGAGACTGACTGGTCTGTAATTCCCCTGGTCATCCATTTTCCCCTTCTTGAAAATGGGGGTCATATTTCCCTTTCTCCAGTCATCAGGAACTTTACCTGACTACCATGATTTCTCAAATATGATGGACAGTGGCTTAGCAACTTCATTCACCAGCTCCTTCAGGACCCACAGATGGATTTCATCAAGTCCAATGGACTTGTGTACGTTCAGGTTCTTAAGATGGTTTCGAACTAGATCCTCTCCTACAGTGGGCCCAAGGTCTTCATTCTCACAGTCCCTGTATCTGCCTTCCAAGATTTGGGTGGTGTGGTCAGAACATTTGCCAGTGAAGACCGAGGCAAAGAAGTCATTAAGAACCTCAGCCTTCTCCAAATCCAAGGTAGCCAGTTCTCCTGATAGCTTCTGGAGGGGGCCCATGTTGTCCCTTCTCTGTGTTTTATTTGCATGGTACCTATAGAATCCCTTCTTGTTATCTTTAATATCCCTAGCCAAGTTTAATTCTAACTCTGCCTTAGATTTCCTAACCTGATCCCTAGCTTCCCAGACAACATCCCTGTATTCTTCCCAGGCTACCTGTCCTTGCTTCCACCTTTTATAAGCCTCTTTTTTCCCTTTAAGTTTTCTCAGCAGCTCCTTATCCACCCAAGGAGGTCTCCTGGCCCTCCTGTTGCACTTCCTTCTACTTGGGATGCAACACTCCTGAGCTTGCAGCAGGTGATCCTTGAATATCAACCAACAGTCTTGCCCCCCCCCCCCCCCTGCCCTCTAGGGCTATATCCCATGGAACATTACTCAACAGGTTCCTGAAGAGGCCAAAGTCTGCTCTCTTGAAGTCCAGGGCAGTGAGCTTGCTGCATGCTCTTCTCACTGTCCTGAGGATCTCGAATTCAACCATCTCGTGATCGCTGCATCCAAGGCTGCCCTGGAGCAGCACATTTCCAATGAGCCCTTCGTTGTTGGTGAGCACGAGGTCAAGCATGGCACCTCTCCTTGTCAGCTCCTCTATTACTTGCAGAAGGAAGTTGTCTGCCACACAATTGAGGAACCTCCTGGATTGCTTGTGCCGGGCCATACCGTCCTTCCAACAGATATCAGGGTGGTTGAAGTCCCCCATGAGAGGAAGGGCCTGCGAGCCTGAAGCTGTTCCTATTTGTCTATGGAGTGCTTCATCCACAGAGTCCTCTTGATCAGGCGGTCTCTAACAGATCCCCACAGTAACGTCTCCCAAAGCTGTTCTCCCTTTAACTCTGACCCACAAACTGTTGACTGCTCACCTGTCCCCAGGTAGAGTTCCATACTCTCCAGCCTATCCCTAACATAAATAGCAATTCCCCTCCCCACCTGCCGGGACCGTCTTTTCCATTCCACCATGCTTCTGCAATGCCTATTATATCATACCCCCGTAGACGTGCACACATCTCTAATTCCTCTTGTTTGCTCCCCATGCTACGGGCGTTTGTATAGAAGCATCTGAACTGAGCTCCAAACGAAGCCGGCTCATTGGCTGGAGCGGCTGGGATATCTCTACATTGCTCCAAGCATTTATTACAGGTGCTAGCAACTGACTGGATGTGTTGGTATGGAATGATGTCCCCCTCCCCCAACACTTCTAGTTTAAAGCCTCCTTGACCAGTCTGGCAAGCCTCCTACCAAAACTGCTCTTCCGCTTCAGCTCCACCAGCCCCCAGTAGACCTGGCCTACTAAATTGAGTCCCATGCTCTAGGTACCCAAACCCCTGACTATGGCATCACTGTTCTAAACATTTATTAACCTGGCCAGTCTTCCTAGTCTCTTTAACGTTCTCCCCTTTATCCTGAAGAGTTGATGAAAAGACTATCTGAGCTGTAACCACAAGAAGGTAAAATGAAATAATAATTTTGTGCTGCATCTGAGTCAGGCACTTAATTTAGATGTCATCCAGAACAAAATGTACATAGGATAAATTGGTCATTTTGTTAGCAACTCAAGAATAAAATGAAAATAAAATATAAGTGAAATCACTAAAATCCCCCTAGGACTAAGCAGATTAGAAATAGTAATTGTCACAGAGGATACAATAAACAACTGCTGCATTGCTAGCTCTGCTCTGGAGGCAAGGAAAGAGCAAAACCCATGGGTTTCTCTAGTCAGATTTCCTAAGGAAAAAAATGTTAAACAGTGGAGAATATCAGACATACCGTCTTTCAATGTATTTTATTTCATTTGGTTCGATACTAAATTTCTGCTCTTCACAGTATACCCTGAGTTAAAAAGCTGTACCTGGAAAGAAATACTTGGAAAATGTGCACATAAGGAGGTAGCAGGCATTGAATATTTATCTATTTAAGTTGAAGTTTTTTCCTAGTCAGATCTAAATCCAAAGCTATTACTTCATTAGCAATACATTTTTGCAGATTATTAACAAAGACGCGTATTTAAAACAGCTTGTTCATCCTCAGGAAGTGGCCTCTTCTTTGGGTTAATCCAGAAAGTATTTCAAGCTTCTATAGTGACAATAGAGTAAAGCATCATGATTAAGAAATCCATTTTGAACATAACTGTTCCCCCCAGTTTACCTACTTTAAGTATATGTGCACAGGATGTTAGGCACAGCCTGCTCCATGCAGCTTGCTCCAGGTGAACTAAGCAAGCATAGTCATTGAGCATGTGACAACGTGGTCAAGCATGTGACAGTGGTGTCACCTAGGCAATAAGGTAGACATGATCTGCACAGTCTGGCCACTTGTCCCTCTCTCCCTTCTGGCATCCCCAAACTCCTGCAGTACTGGGGGAAGATAAGAACAGGCAGGTATACAGTAAAAATAATTGAAAAAAAAAAAGCCTACAAGCAACCTCCTCTTTTCTCAATTTATATATTGTTTTTCTGTTTCCGCTATAGTGCATGACTTTTCATGTGGGACTTATTGTGTGCTTCGCAGTGCAAAAAGATGCATTAGTAATGGGACAGAGGAATGTTTACTGTTTTTAGTATTTATTTGGAAAAAGATATGCTACCTGCATATTAACATAATGCACTCTCAGATCTGAGAAGCATCAAAACTCTTGGCAGCATTAGTGTTTCTTTGTGCTCAGAGGAATTAAAACAGTCTCTTGTTTGTTGATTACTATCAGAAAGCCACTGAGTCAAAAGCTTTTTGTCATTTCTTTCTTTTCCAGTATAGCTGCACTGCAGTGCCTGAATCTCAGGGAAAAATATATAGATTAGATAGATAGATAAAGAGAGATAAAAGGTTGGTGAACTTTGTAACTCACAGCACAAGATTATGTCAAGGACCATGCTTTGTATACAGAGATAATACTGTTGTACTTCAAAAAAACAGCTAATTTTTATTGCATTCTCTTTTTACCAGCATTATAATTCCAATAACAAATGTTTTCTGTTAGACTTTTGGATGAAGTAATTCTTCACTCAGTAACATATCTGAGATGCGATAACTTATTATGATCTCTTACTACTATTGAGTACAATGAGAAACAAACAAACAAAAAAAAGATTGGCTTTTTTTTTCCACAGAAGTTCATGCCGCACTCCTATGTACAAGGTTGAATTATATTGCTATGGGTTTTTTTTTACCTATTTGAACTAATAATGGTTCAGAATACAAATCTTGATTTTCAGCTTTTCGTCACCTAGAAATCTAAATCTGGATACAAGTAACCCTTAACTATGATGTTGTAAAACCTCCTTAAGTTCACATATTTCAAAAAAAGGACCAGTGGACATATATTCAAAATGGCTAAATTCCAAGTACCTAACTCTTCTTTTGTGAATTTTCATGTTATCAGCCTTTAGACAGTAACATGTTTAAAATGAAAGGGTCATTCAAATAAATAAAAAAAATACATCCCTAATTATTGAAAGTATTCATATTTCATAGACTGCATAATTATTACCTGTATATTTTTCTCTAATAAAGTGTCACACACACTATATACTAATGGGCAAACTGTACTCACTAACCTTTTAATACTTTACCCTTTTGTGCAAAGACTGAGCATTATTAGGTAATGAAAGAGTGTATGAGAAAGTAGTAGATTATTTATGATAGAAACAAAATGAAACTAATGGGACAAGATTTGAAAGCTGTGATGCATGAAAGGTGCTATAGAGGCAGCTTTGGCACCATGACAAATAAAGATAAAGACTCAGTGGGAAGCAACAGTGTGAACATGACTATGAAGAAGAAAGAACAGATTTACTGAATGAATCCTTACCATCTGGTGTTTATTTAATACACAATGAAGGTCAAATGGCTAGTGATCCCTTTTTCTATAGTCCAGTGACCAAAAGAATGGGAAGAATCAATGAATTTATCAATATGTCTGGAAATGTTTCACCATATGATCTGATTGAGTCAATACTATTGAAGCAACATGTTCATTACTATTTCAGATATGGTTTGGAAAAGGCTCCATGGATAAGAAGTACATGCATTTTTTTCCCTCTGTCAGAAGTTCCATCAAAATGCATTTCCTTGTGTAAAAAAAAATACATTTAAAGAAATATAATTTAACTGGTAACATACAAGAAGCTTACAAAACAAAATTATATCACACAAGTCAGAAGCAGAGGTAGTTTGTGCTAAACTGTGAATATTTTTTCTTTTGTTTCTTTCTTTTCTTTTTTTTCCTGCTAGATTGAATACACATCTGTTTTATGTAATATTCAACAGTAACATATTAAATTTTAGTGAAAGATTATTACTAGGCATTATAGGTAAACAACACAGGTTAGGAGTAGATCTTATATATATATAACAGTATCATTTTACATAACATTCTGTCTTCTTGAAGGGCTTGCAGTTCTATACTTTGCTTCTCTAAAACAACTATTTCCATAATATTTACTTATATTATAATGCAACTTTCCTTGTTGACTGGAGTTCTCTTAGATACCAGATTAATACTGAGATAGTAAATCTGGCAAAAGATTTTAGTTAGGTTTTCAAACAAACAAAAATATAAAAGACTTTAAAAAAAATAAGCAATCAAATGGTTAAAAATATTCTTGTATTCAACCTCCAAAACAGATAAGGTAAAAAAGTGTAATTTAAGACTGTGTACATTAAAAACATCCTTCAAACAGCACCTTAAAAATTTGGAAAAGATAGGAACTTGGTGTTTGCAAGATTAACCACTGGAACTCCTGACTCCTGTTTTCATCCCTATCACCCCTTTATTGTGTGCTCTTGAGTAAATGATTTTTTTTTTTTTAATTACTTTTAAGGTGGGTTTAATAATAAATATGTCACAAGAACATAGTAATTCCTCCTTTTTTATAATATACTTTGAAATCCTCAAACGGAAAAAAAGCCATGTATGTGCTACTTCAGCAGTGACCTTATTTCTGGTGATCAAAAAATTCCTAGAGAGTTACTTTTAATTAGGACATGAATAATCTTGAATTTAAATTAAAATGTAAATAGGTCCTGCCCTCTACTGGTGAAATTCCCACTCTAATTAACTGAATTTCTGGCAATGGGCAGTTAGCATGGTAACCCATAGAGTGGTTCTGTCTTAAGTCTGTTAAAGCAGAAGTAAAAGTGCAAATTCTAATATAAGTCATTCTGCTATAAAAAGATGAAAAATTAAATGAAACAAAGCCTAAGAAGAAATTAGAAGTGAATTTGGGAAATATGGAGAAAACTCAGTCAACACCAATGACTACTTACCAAACCTCTTTTCCTCAGATGTCTTCATTATGTCCTATCCATCCTCTTTCCCATTACTTATTTTAAAGTACAATGACTTATTTACCCTAACATGTCTCTGATTGTATTGGAAAATGTCTGGTATCGCTTAGCACCTATACATTCTGTCAGTCTATGCTGGGATCAGCTACAGAGTTTGAGGTGTGCTCATATCTAGTTTCTCATCTCCAGCTATATACATTTTCCTTACTCTAAGCCATCTTTCAATGCTTCTGATGAAAACATTCTCAACCTGGGTATAACAAGGATGCTTCTCAGAAAAATCAACAAAATCTTTGTCATTTTCCATTTTTTTTCTTCTTTTCATCTATGTTGTTTTATCTGGATAACTTACACTTTTCTCAGGAACCTATCCAGGATGGGGCAACTGTGAGATATCCTTTTAGTCATCTTAATATAATTAATTCTATGTTTCCCCTTCCAGCACTGTGCCTTGTTTGACTCAGCAAAACATACCTAAAGACTTTTTTTAATCATGAAAGAAAGATCATAGTTGCATAAGCTCTCTCCTTGCAAGCCCCAGGACACATTTTACCCAAGAAAGCCTAAACAAATGTAATAAATTGTCTATTGCCTACCCTTCATCCTCTTTATAGTTTCTGAAACATTTGTTATTTATCAACACACGAAGCTATCATCTCTTCTCTGCTATTATGTTGAGGAGGACACAGTTAAGGATCTGATTTTACAGTGGTTCATTTCTACCAAGGGACTAGCTCATAATATAAGAAAGGATAATGAAGCAGAAAGCAAGAAATATAATTTTCTGTCTTTTTTCCTAGTGAGAGCTTTCAGTAGTAATGGCCAAAGGCAGTTCGCAAAATGTCATCCATTCACACTTCATAACTTCAAAGTGAAGATGTGCAAGAACAGAGGTAAAATCAGGCCCAGATTCAGAATCCCTTTTACTGTTTCTCCCTGGTTCCTCAGTGACTTATAATTTCACCTCTGCTGCAGAGAGATAAAGATCTCTGACTGTTACTTTGCAGTATTATATGCCAGCAATATATTTCAGCTCAATCAACAAACTTCAGTGTCAGCAGCAGGTGACAGGTTTCTTGTTCTTAAGATTGTCCTAATGACACTTTCTGTTGCTGTTGCTTAGGTTTATGTTTATGCAAGTGCTGTGAATGTGAGGTGTTAATCAGCAGCTCTAATTACTAGGGTAGAATGAACATTCTAGGATTGAGTTCATTTGGTTTTCATAAACAAGGTTTACCTGAGGCTTTGGTCACACAGAAATGAATTCAAAATGCTAGATAGCCAGCCTATAGTCCCTTGAAATCATCTTTAATCTATGTGGTCCCTTGGTGATAATTTTAGATGAAACTGAAGTCTTTCCATCAGAAGAAAAAGGGGAATTCAGTAGTCACTGAGCCAAAAAAAGCTTCTTGAAAGACGTTAAATTCTTGTCTCATTTGACTAACATCTCCTGCACCAACAGTTACGGGGCCAAGGAAGATACGGAAAAATCTGGCAAGAAAATGATCTCATGGGTCAGCAGGTGTGGCTACTCTGCAGCAATGAACAGAGGAAAAGGGTAATATAAGTAATTGAACTGATCTTGAAAAACTCCTATGGATAAGGAGATTGGATAAGTATGGAAGACTTGGTGAAAAATATAAAGTTTGGTATGGCTTTCATGGTCTGTGATGAGAAAACTCACTGAGAGTTCAAAAAAAGGAATGATAAATCTGGGGTGTAATTATGTGGTTTTCTAAGAAAAAAAAATCAGCTTATAAGGAGATGGAATTTTAAAGATTATGTAGGAGTTCATAAATACATTTAATTCGAATAAACCATCTATATTTTGTATTGCCCTAAAGTCTAATATAATTGAGATAAATATTTCTTGAAAAAGATCCACATTAAATACATATATATCTCCAG